ACACACACACCGGGGTCGTCACAACATGTGTTTTCCCATTTGCACATATGTAAAAACGCAATAAAAAGATGTTGAAAACTTCACTGTGCGCATGTTTCCATTATGCATAGAAGTGAAAACTCGAACCCTGGTTATGAATTCCGCATTTCGCGTAAGCATTAACACCTTGTTGCATTAGAACACGTCCATCGTTACTTAGTGTGCATTTCCACTCATCGTCGCCTTCAACGATTGTCGAATTCACCGGCACCGTTGATCCAGACGGCGTCTTACAGCCTATTATCTCTATTCTCCAAGAACCATCACCGGGCATACGGCAACGCATCACAAACGCATCTTTCTGAATCTGAAACCAGCTTTTACATGACAGCGAAATGCGCTATATTTGTTTACTTCGTTCATCGAATTTTATGAGAGCAAGAATTAGGATCGATTTTGATGAGCAACAAATTTGCAAAAAAAAATCCTCCACTGTAGCAGATTAAAGCAGTTCTTAGCTTACTTCTTGGAAATAATCGAATATGAGCAGTGACATACGGCGAATAACGCTTAACAAGCTCAATGAATGCACTTCTGCTGACTAAACAAATATCTTCAGTGGACCCATAAGCTGTCTAACCGCATCAAGTCAAGAGGTTAAAACAATCTCCATATTCGCTCTCTGCGTGGGAAGAAGGCACTCAGAAAGTATTTCACGTGTTATCAAATGCTAACAGCAATGGTTTACTGTCGATTTTAACAAGTTGGTGAATGGAATGATTTCGTGGTATATGCCATTATCAGCCTATCATCAAAACGAATGAAGGAATTGTGGAGGACTAGTTATTCCAGGTCACTGGTTGAGGAAATTAATTTTAGAACATTCATCTTGCAGTAAACGGTTGATTTAATCCGCATGTTTTTAAATGGGCGAGCAGCTTGTCGCGCTTTTAAAAAAAAGCTGGATTTAAAAGTCGTGCCATCTGATGCAGCACTGTTCAAAAACTGATTTTTTACTTTTTCCCTTTTGAAATGAACAAGATTAAATTTACAATTTGTTTATTTTGTGTTTTTGCATGCATGCAAATGCAGTCCGGGCAGGGACGCACCAGGCTCTCCGGTGCGATCATGCGTTTTTGCACTAAACTCGCAGCTCGCTATTAGCAGGAATGATCCCTACGCTGTAGCCTAACAATTGGGTCATATTGGCGTGCTTTAATTCTTTTCGTCATGCAGGAGGGAGGGCGTCAGTTGGGATAAAGGTGGTACATTATAGGGCCACACGGACAACCAGGTGAATGATTACCGGTTTTTTGCATAAAGTCCAGTCGTTTTTTCGGTAAATGCTCGCTTGTGAAAAAATGACAAATGCAGTGG